AAAAAAAAAGAAAGAACCAAAGATGGAATAAATGAGAGATTGGGGAAAGCTCTTACCCAACAGGTAAGAAGACTACAGCTGCAAAAAAAATACTAGCATGCAGATAGAATAGAACGAAACAGATTTTGGAAGCGTAAAGCAGCGTAATTATAGCAATAACTATAACATGAAACCCCTAAAACAGTAGCAAAATGTAATTCCAGTCACAATTTATTCTTTATTGTCCAAAAAGATGGGGAGTGGATGGGAGGAATGCAAATAATGTCAAAACCATCAACCAAAGGCAATATTGTATATACTAACCTGACATTGCAAAGCACCAGACATGTTCATTGACACACAGTATGGCTTATAAATATAATTCCTATGCTTATGCATAGAACAATCGAAATCAGATATAAAAGTATCACATGCGCATTATGTTAGTGCATGTACATAAAAGGAGTGATACAAACGTACATAACTCAACTGAGCCTTAACATATCATAATTTGTATGTGGTTCAGGGGTCAGAAATTTTCCCTCTCATGTACCCAAACTTCTTTACAGAACAATATTTGATTTCACAAGGATAATATATCCACAGAAAGACCAAAGTTGTGAGGGAAAGATTTAAAACAAGATTTGAATCATGATAATTTGAAATAAAATGGAATTGCTGGACACCATCAATAACTAGGTTGAAACTTGAAAGTACATATAATTGTTTGCTGCGATCAACAACTAGGGTTGGAAAAACATAGAACTATTTGCCACCATCAACAACTAGAGTTGAAATAACATCAAATTGTTTGGCACAATCAACAAACTAAAGCAACGAAAAAAATTCATCTTTTTACTCAATCAAGAAATAACTAACCGTGGGGGAGGGGAAGTTCTCTTAGTTTTTTGTGGTGGAGAACGTCCTCTTTTCACTCCATCAGCAGGGCTATGCAAAGCCCAACAAAAAAAAAAAAAAAAAAAAACGTTAATAGCAGGCAATCCAAGAAAAATGAGACACAGCAATTTTACAAGAAATTCAATGATTCTATCCAACCAATAGCAAAAGGCTGTATATTGCCCATGTAATATATATAGTTAACAATTACAACCCTAAGTCTCTAGTCTATACAGGTTGCATTATCTAGGGGATAATTAAAATCTAACATCATCAACAACATCAACATCAACATACCCAGTATATTTCCAACAGGTTGGGGTCTGAGGGGTCAGTTGTACGCACACCTTACCCTTGTAATTATACAAGGAGGCTGTTTTCATAGAGACGCAAAGTGCGTTGCGTCATTTGATATATTTTTTTTCCTAAAACTTCACTAATAGAAGAAGCACTAGAATTTAATTGAGCCATTTTGATCTAGTCCATTATTAGCACTATGCCAAGAGAATTGTATTTAAAGAAAAGCCATGTCATAAGACTGAAGGATAATGGTTCTTAGCATCCACCGAAAAAATAACAAATTTCAAATGCTATTTCTGAAGATTAAAAAATCTGGGTTTATTCTTTTTTTCCTTTGCCTGGACGGTGTCATCAAGCAAAGCATGTATCTACTGTATAAACTAAAAAGAAAAAATAAATTAATACGATAGAACATAAAAGTTAACCTCTTTCGACGAGGAGTAGGGCTGGGGCTCCGAGAACTACTTCTGCGAGATGAAGATGAGAATGATCTTGATCTGGAGCGAGAACGGGAGCTCGACCGTGTACTGGAGCGCGACGAGCTCGAGTAGGAAATCGAGCGCGAGCGAGAAGAAGCTGAACGTCGCGATACAGGGGAACGCAAACGCGAGCGAGAGCGGGATGAGGAACGAGAACGAGAACGAGAACGAGAGCCTGATCGAGGGCGACCGCGACCGGGTTTCGCCATTGGAGCAGTGCGCAGAGTGAAATGCTTCTGTAAACCCTAGGTTCAGTGAAGAAGTGTGAGGGGGGTGAGGAGGATAGAGTTTTGGGCTTTACCAAATCAAAAAGTCCACTGGATAGAAGAATAAGCCTTGGACCACTCGTAGCAATTTTTTTAGAAAAATACAACTTTTGTTTTTATAGAAAGATAGGATTATATAAATAGAACAAATAACTACAATTAGAAATCGGCCAAAAGTTGAATCTAGTGGGAGGACATCCGAAAAAAAGTCTGATATGGGATATCATACCTGAGGAAGCAAACCGATTGACTAGGCCGATCGAACCGCCTGGCCGATAGACACATGAGTCGAGATATATGGTGGTTGAGCGTCGACAATCTAGGAGCAAGAGCCTTCGTCCGAGAAAACGAGGTTTACGAAAGTGAGAACAACCCTCGAATGGCCTGGTAGAAATTCGACCCGTGGGAATGGCTGGTCGGGCAATCGACCAGAGGAGACATAGTCTAGGCTAGAGCAGTTAACACTCTACCTTCATCGACCTAGGTATGGTCGAATCACCTAGTAGCCTAGCACGAAAGACTAGATAAACGAGGATAAGAGGATTTTCGGATAGATGAATTACTTTTCTAAGAAAAATGTTACATTGCATCAAATCAAACATTCTCTAAAGAGGATGCGGACTCTCATGACAATCGACATCATTGCCTTTTATAGTTTTTAACTCTTGTTTAACAGCATTGCTCTCTTTTTAGGAGGAAGCAAGCAGTCAGCAATAAGTTGAAGCAAAAAATGGCAATATTACTTCATCAATCCAAGCAACGTTAGATGCACATGCACAAATCTTAAATAATACAACTTTGTATGGACCTCAGTTTTGACAGGCAAAGCCCACAACAACATCATGTACAATACACTCAGCATGCAACCTCAAAATTTGTCTAAACCATCATTTCATTGTACAACAAGCATGTCCAAAACCAGCTTCAGCTCTCTTCTCCCACCTTAACTCCCCTTTGGCTCGGATTTCCTTCTCTTGGGCTCGTTTTCCCCCAACTGCAGCGAAAAACTAAGGTCCTCACCACCATCATTCCTCAACACCGACAGATTCTCGGTTTCCAACGTATCGATGGGCTTCCTGTTGAAGCTGGTGATGAACTGGTGCTCCTCCAGACAAGGGCCCAACGGGCCTTCGGCAGGGGAAGAGTTTATGTCAGGCCCGCATGCACGGTCCTCAAGTGGGATTTGCTGGATGTTAAGGCCCAAAGGCTCGGACTTGTCCTTGGGGAGCATCAAGTCGGGCGGCGAGGAGTCTCCCGCGCTGGACCCCACCACTGTCATTGAAGCCGCCCTTTGTTCTTGTACCGCAACTGTAACAAATGTCGAGATAATTGCACATTAGAAACAATACTTCGAACAACAATTTAACTGCTAATAACAAATAAACGACTTGTGTGATGAAAGTGAACGGATTTTACACGATGCTACAGTTTGTAAACCAAGCATAAAGATAACAATTTTTGTTGTTGTTAGTTTGAAGAGGAATGAATATTAGAAATCTGTCCCGTAAAATATTATAATTTGTCCCTAGCCGACTGATCCCCTTGATCATATAACTGCGGTCAACGTGTCACATCCACGATGAGCTGGTCCACATTTTAGTAGAGACTCAACAATGAATAATATGAATCAAGAAATCAAAATTGGATAAAAGAATGATGATGACAATGATAAAAATATAATTATAGATATTTTACATAATAATGTCACAAGAAGAAAAATTTTGAGCACTATGACAATATTATCCATAGAAATACACAAACCAACGATCAACTACTACATTTATTTCTTTTTACTGTAGAACTCAAACAAGAGCTCGAACATATTTGAGCAACAACCCTATTAGATTTAAGAGCTCAAGTCATCGGCAGCAGCTAATGGCCTTAACATGTAAGAACTGATAATTATATGCACAATATAGTAGCACTCTCATGCAGTAGTTAGATGTATAGAAAAGATGAAGCTAATATCTACACAGTTCAGCAAGCAAAATACAAAGTTGCACACAAAATCACGATAGAGAAAAAAGGATAGTGTCAACTGTCAACGTATACACCAACCTCTCAGGGCCTCATCAGAGTTGATCAAGTCAAGCTCGAGAAAATTCAGCAGACGGCCAAGGTCAACACCACTCGTCCAGTTTACCGGGGGCTGGCCCACTCTTAGCTTGAGACGGCCCCTATTAGCGGTCCCACCCCAAATAATCCCGACAGGCCGTGGCTTTTCCCCATTTTCGCCCTTTAATACTATAAGACTCCCACTGTCACCCTCGAGATCAAATGTCTGCTGGTTCTCACCCACGACGAGAAAATCAGTAAGGTAGCAAATTCCCTTCTCGTCATTATACTCGAGAGCGTAAGCCAGGATGGTGCCGGTGGTGAGGCCGGAGCTTCTCCCAACCTTCATAACTTGTTTCCCGATTAGAGAGTTGATCGGGGACTGCAGGTCTATGGTCTTGACGTCCCCTATCTCCCCTATGCCCTTGATGGATGTGGTCACGGCTGTCATGTCGAAATCGTCAGCGAATGGGATGAAGGCACCGTCTGCTCTCACGAATGTCTCTGCATGTATTCATATTTGTTTTTATATATATGACGAGTGGACAACTAAATTTTACCCGCCCATTTTTAGTGGCAAAATGAAGAAATGAGATAATTATTTTTTATCCCTTTTTAAAGGACACTATTTATTATTATTCATTTATGATCTTTGATCAGAACGAAGAGTATACATACATAGAAAAAGTTATATGCTCCGATATCGATATATTTACATAAACTAATTCATCCACTTCGTTCTATCTGTTGTCTTAGTCATTTCACACATATTAAGAAAGCCTGTCTTCATATTTCTCAGTTTTCAATTAGTAACCATTTGACTCCCTAATGATATGGTATCGGGAAAAGAAATATTAAATGGATTAACATTAATAGAATCATAATCCAAGAAAACGTGCGATTAACTGGTTTTGTTTTTCAAAAGTGACAGATAGATTTTTTTTTTTTAAGGAAACATGACAGAACATACAAAGGGAGTAGTTATACGGATAGTGATTAATCTGTATGGTCTATGTGAATTCATATGATCCGTGTTTAACTCACGTTTTCTAATTTGACCAATATTTTCAGGATTGCAATAAAGATCAAAATCCAACTATATTTCTAATAGATACATGGTAAATATTTTATTATTCTATGACTCTTTTTACAATTACAACTTATATTATTATTCACAAGTCACAACGATACCCATACTGTATAGAAAGAGAAGAGCACAAAAAATAAAAAGGCAACATGCCAAATGTAAGAAATACAATTACAATAATAAATATTAAATACAACAGAAATGACTAACCTGGATTAATGCCAGCAAATATACCGAACCAGAGATCGTCTCTGATAAAAGAAGTGGCTCTTTCGACTGAGCCAAGATAAACACCGGGTCCAAGTGTTGGTGGCAAAGGATGAAACATCTTTTGGTTCGGATAATCCAAATCAACAGCGACATGCCGATTTGTGAGAAAACCAATCTGTCGGCTACCAGTTTGGCTTCTCACGATTGCACCCAGTGTCCCATAGGTTTCTTGATTTGCAACCTGACAAGCAGATAATTGTTAGTGCAAGGGGTTTTATTTGATGGAGGAGAATATAACTGAGTGTCCAACAATTGCCTCAGGAACTGAACGTAGACAAAGGAACTAGAAAGTAGAAGCCCAAAAGAAGAAGGCAACCTCATCAATGCAGAACTTAACGAAGCGTAGTGGTTATCACAGTTGGCACATACAGACCACATTCATGTTAGTGGGTAATGGTAAATTCATGAGTCATGACCTCCAACTTGCAAGTTTCATGCCAGAAAGATCTTACTCAAGGATGCTCTCTAATTTCCTTATATGGTGTTTCCGCATTTTAACATGCTTGATAAAATGCTGCACTAATGCATGCATATGGTAGTTTTTTTTTTTTAAAAAAAAAGTCGTGCACAAACTATAAAACTTTTTACGCCAAAGCAAACAGAGACATTCAAGTTATTATAAGTAGAGATGGCTTGAGTAGCGGAACAAATTATGAAACATGATCAAGTAAGATTCAAATGACTATATATATGAGGTGATATTTCAACATATATTTGGCTCAATGAAAGAAAAATCTTGTTTATTAACTAGGACTATCATTTTTGCAATGAGGTAATGTCGCGTAGAGCTTATTATTCTGTGTACCTGAGAACCGGAACCAATACATGGATCACTGCCACGAAGGTCATCAACAATCTCAGTGTATAACTGCTCCTTGGGTGCAGGCTCTGGTGCACCAAAATATGAAAATTCCACCACATCAACATCACACCATACACCTCCTGGCCCCTGAACATTTCAAAATACCACTTAAGTTTTTAATGGACAAGACCTGAACATCGAGACTGTATTTCTCAAAAAAAAAAAAAAGAAAAAAAAAAGAAAAAGACACATGTTACATCTTCCTTTTTGAATTTCTAGATGGAAAAAAAAAGAAGCAAAAAACGAAGAAAAAAAGAAGACGGGCGTTTTCCTGAAAATTAAGGTCCATAAAAGGAAAAAGCACGAGCAATCGCCAATGGTCACCTCTAAAGCAGTCGGCAGGCATTGAATCGGGCTAAGCCACTGCTTGTGAACTTTCCTCGACACAAACACCAGTATTGCTGGTATATCCGTCAGCACACCACGCCGGATACGAAACCCAACGGCCGTGCCGAGGCTATAACAACGCAGTATCTTGCTGTGAAACGTCCTAATCGTCATGACCTCGAGCAAAGAATTCGCCCGCTGGCCCTCTGGCAGCTGGCCAAGAGTCTCGGGCAAGACCCCTTTCTGAAGGTTGGCAAAATAGTTCGCCCGCTCCTCAGCATCGTCTTTTATCCTGCAGGGCCATGAAAAATACGCAGCACTACTCTCACAGTGTTGTGCACCCGAAGCATGGGGTTGAATAGGTTGCGGGCTGAAAGAGGGCCCGTGACATTGGTGGCTGCAATATTTCTCGAGATCAAGAGATGATTCCTCGGACGGTGTTGCTCGGGCTCTCGAATCCGACCTCCCCTGATCCATAGGCCCTTTTTTTTTCCCTTCCAGTTTACTGTGGGAGATTCATCTGAGGCTTCACCTTCACTTGCTGCTTATAGTCAATCAACTGAATTTGTTCAGAATCACTCTCTCTTTTCACTGTGGCTCATTCTAATAAACTATGTGAGCCACTCTCAAAATCAACCAAAAAGGGCAGGAACGAAAAACGAAACAAGCCCGCATCTTATGGGGCATACCTACTGAGTCTTAACGAATGAAAAACACAAGTATCAGCTCAGTGATTAGATTAACATAACCTCAACAACACTTCAATTGGATTTTATGTAACAGTATTTATAAGCAAGAAGATTAACTTTCTGAGCTTACCTAGC